AGGAGGTAAATTACTCTCAGGCCCAGTATCAAGCCTGAGGAGACCTATGCCTGCAGATAAACAATACCAGTAGAAATCTAAATTTGTCAGCTGATTATATTTCTCCAGTAGCATTATACTAAGGAGATTACAGCTGACTATAGTAACAGAGGTTGATGTTAGTATCATCATTTAAAGCTGAAGATGAGTTCATGAGGCCTCAGTGGCAAATCAGTGAACAGTAGCCTAAAACAGCTACAAGTCACTGCGACCAATGTCACTGAACCCACTGCAGTCTCAGAACCATACTTTACTTTAATGATGAGCTATTCAATCTTCTGAATCAATTAACTAAATTAAACCCCAATAAATCTGATGACTGATTTGATACATTTATTATTTAATCAAGATGTATTCCATGGGCCTCAGTGTTTATATATCAGTGACCAGTTACCTGAAGAAACTTCAAGTTATATCTAATGTCACTGATCTCACTGCAGTCCCTGAATCATACTTGACTGTAGTACTTGATCACATCCAGTCTTCTGGGTTAAATAATATGTAATAAGGCTTGAATATTAGCCTTTCAAGAGTTGACAGGGAAATGAAATCGCATTAGACTTCTAACCCTTGCAACTCTAGTACGGGACATCCGTCCTGTACGAACAGACACACAAATGTGTGATTACTAACTACTAACATCAAATTAATCAAATAATTCGAAGGAGGAGTATCGGTGTTCGTCTGTTCTAATTAGGACTTCGACCCGTGAGCAGCCCCTGGGGAATTATGTCGGAAAATCAGACACCATTTAATAATCATACAGATAATAGCTGTATTACCAACAAGTTACCCATAGAAAACGTAACTTGTAGTGGAATTACCATCTAAAGAAAACGGGATATCATCACCACATACTATTATAATTCACCAGCTATTCTGCTGGGAATTATTCTTAAATACATTAGTCTTTGGACTTTACCATCATAAAAACATCTTATATAAATTAACTTAATTATCAATATTAAAGTAGAGTAAATGTGACCCTTCTATCACGTTCTGAAATCTGGACAATGTAAGCCAGGCGTCAGAGTGGAGGAAGGAGGGCAGCCATTGTTGTTATATGAGACCAGAGGCTCACACGGGAGCAAATTCGGCTCCTGTTAAATTTACTTGGACGTAGTGTTATGGAACCCAAAGGTGTAACATTGTCAACACGCTGTCTACAAATACAAGTTAAGTGTCTATCCGAAACCCGTTTATCATTCATTTATGGCCATTAATGTCAGGATATAGGGTTAGCCGGTTAGAACGCGAAATCGCCTCAAACTAAAGGTAATTAAGCCAGGTCTTTCATGTTCCATGTACTGTATACAGTTTTCTCTGAAATACTTGTCATATATAGGTTTCTGGCTTCACAGCTAGCGCACTTTTGACAGGTCAAGACGAGGATGCAAGATTATGTGCACCAGTTACTGGGTGATGGAAGCTACCTCAAAGAGGATAATTTGGTGTCTACACCCTAGTTATACCTGGTGGACAAACCTGCTGTACTATAAGAGAAGGAACCTCATCAATGTATGTAGCTATTACTGTAGTTTGATTGGCTGCATATATATATTAATTTAATAACCCCCCCCCCTAATGTGTAGAGGATCGATTTGTGAGATTAAGAGATTATTGCAGAAATACAGTCCACTTATCATTATACAAATTGCTATCGAAGTATATAAATTAACGTAAATATAAATTCATATAAATTAAATAAATATAAATCTCACAGGTCGGTTCCCACAACCTTCTTGTGTTCCTACTTCAAAACCTATGTAGGTAACCACCAAGGAAAACCTGATATTATACTGACAAATGTTGAATGAAATATCTTTCACAGTAGAATTCTCCCAGGTAATGATGTGGGATGAGACCACATACCTGATATTCTCCACCTCCAAGCATCTCCCTTTAGGATTCTGGGACGCCCCAGACCCAAACTAAACACGCTTCGACTTCGCCCATGCATTGAGTTCCTTGGCACTGATCCAACCGCTGATCTTGACAATCAACCGGTCCAGGACATTGACGCAGTAATTGCCTCTATACATACACGCATCACTGAAACAACTATGGCCAATTGTGACGTAACCAACACCAGAATAATTCAGCAATACAAACCAACCAGAGAGATCAAGGATAAAATGAGGCATTACCAACAAGAAAGTGTGAGGCGCCTACGCACAGGCCAACCATCCCTCCAAATCATACAGTCCCTCAGACGTGAAGTCTTTGGCTTCACGCTCCTACACAAACGTCATATTTGGGGTACTCTAGTCAACCAAGCGAACCAGTACAAGAGGAACCAGTTTCGAGTTCTAAAACCAGTTTCCACCTCTAAACTACCTGCAGTCCCTGCTCAACGCCATCCTCGCCTCAGGCCACTTCCCACAAGTATTTAAACAACCAAAATGATCTATATCCCGAAGCCAGGCAAAAGCAGACATGTTTCTGGGAACTATAGGCCTACCTCCCTGTTGGAGATTTCGTTTCCTGTCTCCCGATAGGAAAGTGCTTAGAGAAAATACTACTAAACCGTATTAATCACTACATGGAGTACCACCATCTGTATACTGAAAAACAGTTTGGTTTTAGGAACCACAGATCAACGCAACTTGCCATCAGTATCATTTATGATGCAGGAGACAGTATCAGGAGACAGTGCCAGACAGCATAAATAGCAACCAGAGATGTCAACAAGGCCTTTGACAGTCTATGGCATAATGGTCTGCTCTTCAAGCTGAAGTCTATACCACACCACAACTGGACCCGCCTAAGACTAGTAAAAGACTTTCTAAGCCATAGAACAATAATTCCGATGTTTAACTACAAGGAAGCTGAATCCTTTACCCCGACAGCAGGAGTTCCTCAAGGATCGTGCATCAGCCCACTCCTCTTCAATCTTTTTGTAAACGATTTGCCACGCCCTATTTATAACGACACTATTATCACTCAGTTCGCGGACGATGTCATCCATGTAGTGTCGTGGATGCCTGCTGGCCAAGGAACTAAACACGATTCAGTCATAAGGAAGACGAAAGAGGAACTAGCAGCCACAGCAAGTTGGGAACAAGACTGGAAAATCGTGATAAACCCTAACAAGATACAACTGTGCTCAGTGGGCAGCTGGGCGAGTACACTCGGGGTCATCAACATTGGTGGCACGTTAATACAGGTTCAGAACTCCACTACAATTCTGGGCTATGTAATATCGAGACTTTTGAATTCCACTGAGCATATCAATTAGAAAGTAGCCTTAGCCAAACACAACTAGCTCAGTTGTACTGATTCAGACAAGCTCCACAGCATGTGAAGCTACACCTATACAGAATGCTTATTCGACCTATCCTGGAATACCCATACACCCCGCTTGCTCTTACTAAACAGTCAAATATGCTGAAACTTCAAAGGATTCATAATAGAGCCCTCAAATTTGTAGCAGGAGTGAGACTTGCCGACAAAATTAGGACCGATAGACTCCACACCCAATTAAAGATTAAAGATGGAACCGTTGAATAGATGCCTCCACAAACTCTCAGTAAAGTAGTTATACAAAATGAAGTACACCTACTTACTAAATCGTGACGATCCCTTTACGGTATACACTACTAACTATGAGATACGAGACCAGCCTCACAGAACAAGGAGGATGTCACTACAACAAAAAGTCAGGCGGTACATCCACAACAGGAATTACCCTCAGCCCAGGATACTTAGTGAGGAGGATGAGGAATGGGAACCTCCTGATCCATTATACACCTAACAGGCACGAACTATGAACTAACAAGTCAACGTCTGACACCAATACCTCTACCAACCAGGACAAAATCATTGTATACATCAACTACAAGCTCCTCTACCAACCGCCCACCACAGCACTGCTCTCCAGGTGTGGCACCAAGACTGGAACTCTGTCCTCGCATGGCAACTTCTCTTCTCCTGTCGTGCAACAGCTACAGCTTGCTGCTATTAACAGCCAGCAATCATAAATAAACTTCATCATCACCATCATCAATGAGTGTAGTCTTGCCTCGCCATCAATTCACATATCAACTCATATCACTCTATAATCACTCTCAAAGCCAAAGTGGTTAGGCCACAACCCTGTCCTCCCCACTCTCCTCCCAACCTCCTAATCCTCCTTCATGTTTTCCTAAATCCTTCCCGTGCATCTTTCATCCCTGCTTGCCAACTCTTTGGACGTTTTCGCTTCGCAAACTGAACGAGTTACAGCACCCCTGCTCCTGTGCCAGGTAAGTCCACAACTGGATCACCATAGCCTGTGCTACTTTGAACCTATTATTCCAAGTAGCGAATCTTAAACAACAACAACAACAGCAAACTGAAATTTAAAACTTCATCCTAAAATTCTAAGTGTTTCAACAAAAAACGAGGAGAATAAATGGGGAGGTAAATGTAACAGCCCCATAAGTGCAATTATGTACTATGTGTGGCAGTCAGGAAATGTACTTATTACACTTAGTATTAAAATGTATTTTCAATTAGGAGGATGGGTTGCACACGATCGTCGTCGCCTTTAAATCAACAACAACTCCTTGGGTTTGTTCAGTTATTGAATATATGTGTGTGGATCAAAGACTTGCGTTTACTTAACCCTAGTCTGGTTGATATTAGGGCACTGAAGTACCTTGAATGATATTTTACATCATTTTCAACGTTATTTCTCCAGATTGCTGCTCTATAAGGTCAAACGTAAGACATGAATGGGACAGTAAACAGGTTCAAGCTCAAAAAGCCCCAAAGTAGGACAGAAAACAGGTGATGATTTTTTTCAATATAGGGTTATAAACCAATTGCCAAATCATTACTTCAGTTTGAAATCCAGATATAAACAAATCCTCAATAACAATGGGAGGACCTCTGACAAGCAACCGGTTTCCTGTCCCCTTCTAGGTCACTAGGTAGATAGTGGCCCGCAAGAAGCCTCAGATAAGTAGTGCGAAACTTACCTGGGCTGGTGACGATGGCAACACTGTAAGTGATGGCGACGCTCTCAGTGTCTCGGGGCACGGTGCTGTTGCTCGCTGTGCCCAGGCGTCCCCGCAACACCTGCAACAATACACACACATGATGTAGCCTCGGTGTTCTTTAATGTAACACTGAGTCATTCATTGATGACTCACATACTGATGCAGTTGTTTATTGATGCTGATATTCCGAGATACAGTCATTTACTGATGTGATAACTCTATGGTGTGACACTAAGATGATTTTTCCTTGATGTAATACTGTAATAGTCATACTGTGATACTGTGATATTGAGATGGCCAATTATTAGCGCTGTTATAGCGAGATGTGGCATTGATGATGTTCTGCCCACAGAGATGAAGTCATTGATGCTGTAATACGGAGGTGGTCATTCATTGATGCTGTGATACTAAGATGCAGTCATTCATGAATATTGTGAAACAGAGATGCAACTTTTCATTGATAGTGATATACTGAGATACAGACTTTCAATGATTTTATTGTACCGAGCTGCAGTTATTCATTGATGCTGTGAAACTGAGATGCAGTTATCCATTGATGCTATTATTGATTCAGTTAGTGACAAAGTTATTCTTTGATGTAGTTATTAATTCAATTAGAGATGCAGTTATTTATTTATACTGTTGTACTGAGATGCAGTTATTAATTACGATTATGTAGTTTTGAGATAGTTATTAATTGATGTTGAGATACTGAGATGGTCATTCATTGATACTGTGATACTGAAATAGTTATTTATTGATGTTGAGATACTGAGATGCAGGTATTTCATGATGCTGATATAATGAGATGAAGTTATTGACGCTTACTGAGGTTCAGATATTCATTGATGCTCTTATACTTAGACGAAGAAAATCAAGGATGCAATGATACTGAGATTAAATTGTTCCTTGATTGTATGATACTGAGATGTAGTAATTCATTGATGCTGTGATAAGCAGTCTGTTACGAATCTGTTATTCCCAGTTATAAGAATAACGAACTCGTAACTTTCTATTATAAGTAGAAGTAGGAATTAAGAGGATAAAGCTGTTAGGCTTTGCCTTATTGTACCTAGTATTGTATTATATTAAAAACATCCACATATAGTGTAGTGTTGAATGGTTATATGTAAAGACACACTGAGTGTGAGATGTGTTTTAAGCAGCTTAAGCACCGTGACCTGAGGTCGGGATGACCAACTCCAAGAAAATGGGAATTACTAATTAATAGTAATATTGAATTACTGGAACCTGAGAGATGTTACCAGGAATCTAGATTGATTATAAATACTTGATGGCGGATTAAGGCCAACTATGTTGAGTTTCCCAGTGTATGTTGGACTAATGTAATACAAATAATGTAGGTAGCTTACGCCATCTTTAAAATGGCGGCGACGGCCATGTTGTTTACCCCTCAGGTTAATTGTAAAGTTTATGATGTTCCTATTAGTTCAGTACACCAAAACATTTGCATGTAATTATAAATCCATTTTGCCAACCATTGTGAGAATTTGGGTTTATAATATTCTAAGATAGAGAAATGACTGATGCCTTATCGTGCATCTGACAACCCATAGCGTACCATGCGTTCTAATGGTCCTGTTTAATGTTCTACATTTTAAATAAGAAATTGTTAATAGTATTGTTCCACCTGTCTTAAAATGATTGTTACTAAAATTACTAGCTTAGATCTGCTTAATTAACAGTTCGAAGGAAATGATTAAGTAGATGGACTGGACTAGGGCGCTTAACAGCTGAGTGGACAACACTTCGGATTTGTAGTCCTGAGGTTCCGGGTTCGATCCCCGGTGGAGGCGGAGACAAACGAGCAAAATGTTTCTTTCACCCTGATGCCCCTGTTACCTAGCAGTAAATAGGTACCTGGGAGTTAGATAGCTGCAACGGGCTGCTTCTTGGGGGGGGGGGGTGTAACAAAAAGGAGGCCTGGTCGAGGACCGGGCCGCGGGGACGCTAAGCCCCGAAATTATCTCAACATAACCAGTATATTAATATTTAACTAGACCGGCGTCTGAACGTATGTCACGTTTGAACACGGCAGCCGTGTCCATGACAGCGCACACGCGCCTGATTCGTCCCACCCGCAGACCCACACTGAAAGTGACCTTCAGCACGGTCATCGCAGCGACCCACGCCAAAGAACACGGCCTTAAATGCGTCGGAATTACGATTCCACCTGCCCACATGACCAAGGAACGATACACTAAGCTCCGCTAGTGCTTCAAGTGCTACCGGTACTCCCACTACACCAGTAAGTGCACCGATCAAGTGCAGAAATGCAGTATCTGTGCCCAGGAGCATCACTACACAGCTTGCACATCCTCCCACCGACGCTGCCTACTCTGCAATGGCCCGCACACTGCAGTTTCACCTGACTGACTCCACCGGTAGGAGGAAATAAAAAAAGATGCCGGCAAGCACCACCTGAACTCAGCTAGCCAACCCGCCTGCGTCCGCTCTCCCGGCCTTGCCCGAGAACACTGGGGAAGCTGCTGCTACCTCACCACTGCTTGGTCCAGTTCACTTCCGCAGCCCTCACAACCACGACCCAAGCCTGCAGTTACCACCAACAACACCCTCCTACCGGTACTTCTACACCTCGCCGACAAATTGGTGGGCAACGATGTCACCCTGTACGTCCACACCATCAACAGGCTGCTCACCGCAAATGGACTTCCGACGGTGACGGTACCAGGCGACCTTCTCCTAGGTTCTCCACCTGCGGCCGGCCTGGCGTCCGATCGCCAGGCCGCACAGGCCCCACAACCAGTCCGGTAATAGGGACTCCACCCACCCTGGCTACCCCTGCCAACGAAGACACCACATCCAAAGACAACAACGGACCACCCGGAACTCCCACAATCAAGAGGCTCTCCACGAGACGGCCTTGCGACCGACGACGAAGACGAGGACGAAAACAAAAATACTTGTCATGTGCTGTTCCCCCGCCCACCGAGTTCAATGGCAACGTACACACCAGGCAAAAATTGGCCCCCCAGATGTAACAAGATAATCTGTCCACACACACACCATGAACTATTACACTGATCTCACAATACTGAAAAAAGAATACCGCGACCCAGAATTTCACTGTTAATTCCCAGACGGACAAATACCTCCACTGATGGTACCAAACTACTGACGTTGCTCTGTTCAAATATACAGCGTCGCTTTGCACATTAAACGGCAACCTGGCGACCAAGCCTCCTGTGGGCCATAAACTGCGAGCGACCATGGAGATCCCATCCATCCACAGATCTCTACTATCAGCTATTGATACTGATGGACTATCAGCTATTGGACTGATGTACACTGTAACATTACATAATAATGAGTACTCATGTTACCACTCTCTTTACATACATTCCCCCGGTCACAGCCTCACTTGCAGAAAAACACCTAGCTCGCTCCCACGTGCGTCGACTAGGTGTGGCCCGAGGGAGTGTGGTCAAGGCATGTGTGGCCACCTCATGGCCCTAAAGGGGGGGGGGGGCATGAGGAGTGCGAGGCGGTCGTGGTGCCTCGCCCTGGAGGAGGGGGCGCGCGGTGTGGCCCACAGGCATGTTGCCAGGGTGTGGTCATCGCATGGCCCCACAGTGTCTGGCCGCGGAGCGGTGCGGCACGGGGTAGCCGAGACCTCATGCTGGAGCCTCAGGCTACACAACGTGGGTGGAAGATTCACTCACACCCACACACACCACAAGCATGGCTCGCTCGTACACCGGGTGTGATAATGTCGGGTGATACAACAAGGCGGACACGGTAAGGTGGAATTTCAAAGTCCAACGGAGGCCTGTAATCTCACCTCAATTACACTGGGAGGCCCGGCCCTATTCCACCAATTGTCCGTTCACATAGACAGGATAACACATAACACCAGATATGAGCAACTACATCTGATACACCACGAGGCTTGCCTGGTGCCTCATGGGTGAACACTGTCTTTTAGAGTCCTACACAGTTGTAGGTTGCGAGTCCTGGTTGTGTAGGTTTAGAGTCCTACACAGTTGTGTTGCGAAAAAAACTAGTGGAGCATCTGGAGCGAAGGAACTTTGTAACACAGCATCAACATGGGTTCAGGGATGGCAGGTCCTGCCTCACAGGGTTACTTGAATTCTACGACCAGGCAACAAAAATAAGGCAAGAAAGAGAAGGGTGGGCAGACTGCATATTTTTGGATTGTCAGAAAGCCTTTGATACAGTGCCACACAAGAGGCTAGTGCGAAAGTTGGAGATGCAGGCTGGAGTGAGAGGGAAGGTACTCCGGTGGATAGAGGAATACCTAAGCAACAGGAGACAACGAGTCTGTGTGAGGGGTGAGGTCTCAGATTGGCGAGACGTCACAAGTGGAGTCCCGCAGGGGTCAGTCCTTGGACCTATACTGTTTCTGGTATATGTAAATGATCTCCCAGAGGGTATAGATTCGTTCCTCTCAATGTTTGCCGACGATGCAAAAATTATGAGGAGGATTGAAACAGAGGATGATAGTAGGAGGCTACAAGATGACCTGGATAGACTGAGTGAATGGTCCAACAAATGGCTGTTGAAGTTCAACCCGAGTAAATGCAAAGTAATGAAACTAGGCAGTGGAAACAGGAGGCCTGGCACAGGATACAGAATAGGAGATGAAGTACTTAATGAAACAGACAGAGAGAAAGATCTAGGAGTTGATATCACACCAAACCTGTCTCCTGAAGCCCACATAAAGAGAATAACGTCTGCGGCATATGCGAGGCTGGCTAACATCAGAACGGCGTTCAGGAACCTGTGTAAGGAATCATTCAGAATCTTGTACACCACATATGTAAGACCAATCCTGGAGTATGCGGCCCCAGCATGGAGCCCGTACCTTGTCAAGCACAAGACGAAGCTGGAAAAAGTCCAAAGGTATGCTACTAGACTAGTCCCAGAACTAAGAGGCATGAGTTATGAGGAAAGGCTGCGGGAAATGCACCTCACGACACTGGAAGACAGAAGAGTAAGGGGGGACATGATCACAACCTACAAAATCCTCAGGGGAATCGACCGGGTAAACAAGGATGAACTTTTCAACACTGGTGG